GGTTGTTAACTCTACAGTTACTTATAGGGGAACAGAATGGCAACACTGCCTATTGAGAAGGCATGCATTATTGATTTTTCTGCCGACTCGTCCCGTCGCGTCGTCTATCGACGAGCGGGCCGAGGTTGCCATATTTCAACCATAAAGCTCTTGCCGCGAGTAATGAACAAATTAACAACCTGTATATTAGAGCAGTTGAAAATGAGAAAAAAGGATGTTAACTTGATTTGAAGATTTTTCGGTATACTGGGTCACCCTGTATACAGTATATGTAAATTATCATATAAAATTAAAAAAAAATACTACAATTATTTAATAAAAGAAAAAAAAATAAGATCCAACTGATGGTTGTTGGAGGTTTTAAAAAGATTTTTTAGAAAATATAGGCAACCAACAAATCATCTTAACTTACAAAAACCCGAAAAAAAAAATTAAAAGTTTGATAACCACAGCAAGTAGTACACAATAATATTTATAATCGATATTAGGTGTATTCAATCAAATTGGGGAGTGTTTTATCTTTTTTTCTTTTAGCACAATCAAAAACATCTAAAATATAGAGCAACAAAACCAATAATATTATAATTTAACAATTACCGAGAGCTTCCTTTAACTCTGCAATTTTAAAGTTATGCCGACAGTTAAGTTTTAACACATACGCAAATACAGAAACAATGTAGAAACAATGCAAAACAATTAGATGTACATATAGCATCCATATATTTTATTAACAAAAACTATAGAATTTATATTAATTCATACTAACTTTAAAGAAATAAGTAACACACTAAATCACCCACAATACACCAAAACAAAACACTTTTACTTTTGTACAAGACGCGTGTTTTTTCGTTAACTATGTTAGAATTATCAGCAGATAATTATTTATTATTAGTCCATGGTAAAAAGTAAAAGTGTTTGTGTATTGTGGGTGATTTAGTGTTTTATTTATGCTGGTGGTAACACCAAAGTTCAACAAACCCTCAACTGTAATCTACACCTTTATATTAATGAAAAAATCAAAATAAATAATATAAATTTTATTAACCTCTTGATTTTTATGGTGTAAGTTCTAATGAAGGTAATGTTCAAATATTTTACAACGATCTAAATAGTTTGTTTTTTTTTTTTTTTTATATAATCTATATTTTTAGATCTCAAAAAAATCTGGTAATTCGAATAATATAGTACCTGAAGAAAAATGCATTAGCGAAAAAAAATTACTCTAAACTGAAGGATGATTATATTGTAAATATTTAACGTTAAATCAAACAAAATGAAATATTCAACTAAAAAAAAATAATGATTGAATTTTTATCCGACTTTATATTTAAGAAGCGTGTTGCAAATAACTTTAACGTCAACACAAAGGTTTTAAAGTTGAAATATCACACAAAATTTAAAAAAGAAATGCACATAAAAACAGATTGGGCCCCATGTACTTCGTAGTTAACTTTAACTACAAAAACTATCAAGGTAAGGAAGAGTGAACTATGAAATAAATGACGATAATAAATATTATTAATTAAAAAAACACTGGTTAAAATGTTAAAATAAATTAATTTTTTTTTTTTTTTTTTTTTTTTTTTAAAAAAAATTAGTAATAAATCTAGAAATACATTTAGAATTACAATATGAAATACACCGAGTCTGCGTAAAAAGTATAAAAGAATGTGTAAATATCATTTTTGATAAAAAAAATTATTTATTTACTTTAATTTTTTTTTTTTTTTTTTTTTTTTTTTTTTTTTTAAAAGAAAATATACATTTCATACCAATAACACTAAAACAAAAATTTGACAACCTTCTATCCAACATTTGTCTTACACTGTTAACAATCTTACACACAAGCGATAGTGATGGATAATATGCGTAGAAATCAAGAAAATGTGCTAGTTATACACTCCTAATAATACAGGGTGGTGCCTATTTAAAACATCTAAACACATGTTTATACAATAACTGTAACAATTGAGAGCTTATGACATTTTTTGCTAAATTGTAAAGAAAACTTTAAACTTTTTTAAAAAAAAAAAAAAAATTTTTATCTTTTTATTTATTTATCAATATTCTAGCTCAAAAATAGAAAAAAATATAAATATTTTTTTTTTTTTGTATTTTTATATGTAAATTTTAGGATATACATGTATACAAATGTTATATGTAAAAAATAAAATAAAAGTTGTAGTTAATTTGTATTATGTTATGGCAGATGCGCTAGATTTTAGAATATGCAATAAAAATCGGTATTAGCGATTGTTTCATGACACACCCTGTACAAAAAAGTCTCTTGTTGAATGAAATGCCGCAACTCAAAAATGTTCAGTCTACGTGTGCAGCTTTTTGACGACATATTAATTCCTAATTTTATTTGTTATCGAATTTGTTCCATTTCGCTGTATTACAATTATTACATTATTATTAACGATATACAGAATTATTTAAAAAAAAAAAACTTTTAACTATAGTCTGTCCAAAAACAAGATCCTTGACAGTAATAATAGATGTGACTGTCAATTTAATTCAAAAAGAAAAAAAAAAATAAAATACAATTTACCTGTTAAATTAAAATGACAAACGCATCTATCACTGTCACTGTTCATGAGGAAATCCTCTCGTTGGATAGACTATCTTACAATGATATTATAAAACAATTGCAAAATAGTAGGTATTATCGTAATCGATTTATATGAAGTAAAAAAAATTGATACCTTTTTTGTGGCAAGGCTGTAGGTTTGAATCGCGGAGTGAATTTTATTTCGGTGTATGTACTGAAAAATTGCAGAATTTTCAATCGTCGTGTATAAACAATATTCTTTCCATAAGTTTGGTAGGTAGATTTTTGAAAATAAAAAAAAAAAAAAAAAAAATTATTATTTCAAGAAATTGATTATCGAGTAGAAAGAGAGCTAAACGTCTGGCCGTTGGTCTTCTATGTAGTCAAAAATAATAAAGATATTTAGTTCTGTCCGCAGTTAGTGAGTCATATTAAGTGAGAGAGTCTCACACTTTTGTTGCTCGAATTATGACTGATTAAAGTTGGGAAGTGAGAGTATATGGGTCATATAACGAGAATAAGTAGAAATTGCCAAACAGAAGTGATTACGCGCTGAGGCGACAAAACGCCAATGTCCAAAACTAAGACTGTATGACGCAATCAGAAAACGGCGTCCAAACGATGGCTTATGAAAATGAAGATCGTGCCTGTGCCATTTTTATATGTTAAAATTATATGGGAAAATGTCATCGATCGTCATTTCCTTTTTTTTTTTTTTTGCCGCCATTTTTTTTCGATCCATACGGTAACTTCCATTTAAACCCCGAATAACTTGAAAATGAAAGGAATACAAAAAATTTAATTAATGGAAGCAATTAAAAAACGTGCCCGAGAAGGAAATAAAGTTTATAACCTATCCTCGCTGTTAAAGTATCATCTTATCTACCCTTGCGGTTAAAGTTCTATTTTATCTACATTTTTGAGTAAATACTATTTATACATATTAATAACATAAGAGCAAATTAACCAAAGCTATGACACAAAGAAAGAGAAAGTATATAATGATTGGCCGAGAACTACGAATCTACACTCGTTAAATTTTGACATAAAGGTTCTCCACATCGTCCAGTTTCAAATAATGAGTCATTTTGTATTTCTGGCCTATAGGGGACGTTATAGATTACTTTATTTGTATATCCTGTCAAAATCACGTAGCAAAATTCAATAACTTTGGAAGAAAAAAGTTATTTTATAACACGACAGAGTCGAGCAGATCCGCATCTGATCTACTGAGACACCGTGGTCTCGCTCGTAAGGTATTGGGCCTACTGGAAGAGGGGTATCATGTTAGGAGCTAGTAAAACTAATTCGAATTAAATTTTAAAAAAAAAAAAAAAAAAAAAAAAAAAAAAAAAAAAAAAAAAAAAATTAACTATTTTTATTTTATTTCTAAATTTCTTTCTGGGAAGGGTAATTACCCCCCGCTGTCTCATCACGTCTCTCTCTAGTCGTGCGAATGCACCGCCGCTGTCCAAGGGGTACACTCAAAATAATTCACCAAAAGCAAACAAAAAAAATAATATGAATGACAAGAAATTAACAAAATCGATTATTTTACTAAAAATAAACCCTCTAGAAACGTATAAAAACAATGATTAAATTGATCATTAAACTATTAAATTATCATCTGATCGTAGATATAGTTAGATAAATTTCATATAAAATTTAGTTGTGTTAATACAATAAAATAAAAATTAAAAAAATAATAAACTTTTAAAACTATATAACTCGTGTTCCATCAGAGCTATAGTGACGCATGTCTGTCTATATGTATATACATTTATAATTTTTGATAATCTGGAATAAATTTTAAGAAAACAACTTAAGAAATTATACAAGTAATACAAGATAAAAAATAATTAAAGAACTACTACTATAAAAAATTGGTAATGATACAAATTTATAGATAGAATGTCTTTAATTCTATTAAAAAAAAATATTACGTTATAATACAACTACTATTTAATTAATAATTACAATATCTAATGACCTTTAATGAATGCAAAAATAATAAGACTAAATGAAGATTGAAAAAAAAACGCTTAAAGAGATGAAAAAATTATAACAGAATATATTACTTGCCAACATATTTTTCATAAAGATTAATGGTTAGATTTTAAATGATTTAAAACATTAAGTCATAACATGCCCTCAAAAACTAGAGGCAATTAGATAATAAATAGGAAGCATCAAAAATACATAAATATAAGGCAATATAAAACAAATAATGGCCGCTATTCATAAAATAAAGTATTGTTCTTAACTAATGTTTTATTTTGCAAAAGCTATAAGAAAAAAAAAAGATTTCTGTCCAGATTATCCAAAATTTTTACAAAAATTAAACATTTAAAAAAAAAAAAAAAAAAAAAAAAAAAAAAAAAAAAAAAAAAAAAAAATAAAACAGAAATTTAATTGAAAACAATAAACACTTTAATGAAGCTAACGAACCTTGGTGAGACATTGAGGAGTATTGAGTCTGCTTCATGTTGAGTGAAAGAGGGAAGCAAGGAGTAGGAGCAACTGTTGATATCCACAGTTAAGAAAATGCGGAGATATCTAAAAAATAAAATAAAAATAATATTAAAAAAAAGGAATAAAACGATCTATGTAAAAATTAAAATAAATATATTTTTATTAATGCAATAACTATGTTTTTTAAATTATTAATTTGTATATACCCTATGGGAAAAAAACAGCATCAGAGTGGCTTTCAAAATAACAATTGATGACAATTATTTCTGCCAGGTAGACCACAATATATCATTTATAAAAAATTGGTATAAAAACTTGTAAAAAATCAAAGAATAAAAAGTTAAAAAAAAAATTCAACGTTCATATTTTTTTAAGTTAAGGTTTTGAATAATAATTGGTGTTTGAAAACTTTTTCCTTTTTTTCATTGAGAAATTATTTTTTACAAGTTTTTATATCAATTTTTAACAAATTACATAAAAAAATAGACGTTAAAAAATATATAATAAAAAAATATATAACTATGTAAAAAGTAAAATAAATATATGTATATTTTTATCGGCAAGCACATTGATTTGTCAAGGCCTAAAAAGTATAAATATGTAAACGAATTCAAAAACTACGTCCTTCCTTAAATTAATAATTTATATATACTCTGAGAAAAAAAATCAGCATCACCAGTGGCCTGATGATGCTGATTTTCTTTCACGGCCTGCCACCAAATGATAACAATTTCTACCAGGTAGGCCACGATATATCATGCAGAAAAAATTTACATAAAAACTTATCAAAAATTAAAGGACAAAAAAATTAAAAGCAAGCAAAGTTCATATTTTTTTATGAAAACCTTTGAACAATAATCAGTATGTTTGAAAACTTTTTATTTTGTGACATTTAAACAATACTTTTGACAAATTTTTATATCAATTTTTAATAAACGACATATAGGAATAGACGGTGACCTCATAGACTTGTGCAGCTTGAATATTATGAAAACTTATCATAATTTTCAAGCTTGTCTATGAAATTTAGTAAGAAAAAAGAGATAAATAACTTACCAGTGATGAAGGACTGCGACCATACTAACAGCTATTAAGTACAGTCCTAAATAGTCTTTCTGAGTCTTTTCCTGCAAGTTTCATTGCATTTAAAGCTTTTTGATGTCCACCATAATATTTGCAGACAGTACGTCTTGTGGATTTTTAATATAGCAATTGTCCCATCTTATACCTAAGATTCCAAAAAAATATTAAGTAAATTTTTACTATACTAATTTTTGAAGATTTTTGAAAACAAGATTAATAAAAAACAAAACAAAAATTAATCAAAATTATATTTATGGTGTTTATTCTAGTGAGAACTTTTAATATATCGTCAGGTGTGTGTGACGAGTTCTGTAATTTCAAACCAAACAGTTTTGAATAGCGAATGATGACAATTTGGCGAAGGATTTTTAAATAGTTAATTGTGTGTTGTAATCAGTATAAAAAAAATTGAAAGAAAATAAATCCCTTAAGTATTTTATCGCGAGTTTAAATTAGCGGACCCAGAGAATCCGTAACAATATGCAACCAGTAATACAGTATCAGCATTTTATTTTGTCCCGCCTATTTTTAATAGTTGTTGGCTGTTCTAATATTGGAACAAAAGCGCTCGAATATTAAAAAGTTTTAAAAGTTGTCAAGCTGTCCAATGAAATTTTATAAGATAGATAAATAACTTACCATTGATAAAGAACTGGATCCGCTCTAACAGCTATTAAGTAACAGCAGTTCATACCTAATTAAAAAATATATATCAGGTAATTTTTTATTATAGAAATTTTTGAAGCTATCAGAAAACAGTCAATAACATAAATTACCTTAATATTTGGAACTATCTAAAATAACAAATAAATAATACTCATTTTGTTAATATTAATTTGAATAAGTTATAAAGAGTTATATAAAATTAAAAGAAAGACTTTTACTGATAACTTCAGAAATAATATAAAAATTTTAAATTTCCTTGATATGAAAGATTATTATAGCGAGTTATTAATGACCAAAAAATTAAATGTCTAATTTACTAGATATATATACAGGGTGGTCCGAATTGTATTCTGGAAACTTCGACAGCATATTCTGCAGATAAAAATAAGTAAAAAAAAAATCGTATAAATATATGTCCCAAAATGCTTAGTTTCGGAGATACAGGGTGTAGAAGTTTCATTTTTATTTCGATTTTTTCCAAATAATTTCTGAAGTGACGTCAATATTTGGATGAAAATTGGTATCTGGGAGTATTGTGACACGAGAAATTTGATTTTGATGTCAAAATTACTCCTATTTGTAGGGGGCGCCACCTACATGTGTTTAAACTGTTTTGTAGAGTAATAACTTTTCGACCGTACCTGTATAAAACCACTGATTAAAAAAATATATATATTCATGACTTTTTATGTAAAAAATGTCTTTTGGTAAAAATCGCTACGAGCAACCAAACCTTTGAATAAGAAGACTAAGGAAGGAGCATAATGCTATCCATGTATTCATGCATGGTGGGCGGAAAAAGCGCCATAAAAGCTCTCTAGGGTGGGGATCCTTGACAGTTCTGTTTGACGATTCATTTGACACATTTGAATTTGATTTGAAATTTTGTGGATTTGTCAGTCTTTACGGAGCTTATTTTATGTTATTTATTATTTATTCTACTACTGATAGTTGTATAAAGGTAGTAAATCTAGATGGAAATTGTGGCAGCACTTAAATTAACAGTGACACTATCGCGATTTATCGAAAAAGACTCTAAAATAGTTGGTTGTGTAGCGTGCGGTAGATCTCGGCAAAAATTGAGTGAAATAATGGAACAACTTTTCGCTAGTAAGTGACTATATAATATACATATGTGTAGTAAACCGATCATTTATGAAATTCACTTAAATTAACTAAATTATATATTTTTTCTTGCATTTTAGCTTTTATTTATTACTTGTCAAAGATTAGATGTCAAAGAATTTAGATACGTTAATTTGACTTACCTGCTTCAGTAGCGTATCGGATGTTTGTGGTAATAAATACTTATTATAACTTATCTATTTTTATTAGAATTATATATTTTTATAACAATTTTAATAACTACCAACATTTATTCACAACGTAAAATAAAACAACAAATTATTGAGTCTACCCCACGTCTATCCTACATCATAGTTTTACATTTCTTAAATAAAATTAGAACGACACTGATAAACCGGAATTTAAATCGGCCATATTTGAGGCCCATCGCGGTGTACCTAAGATTTTTGATATGCTCCTTCCTTAGTCTTCTTATTCAAAGAACCAAACCAAACCACAAGATATTTAGAATGGAAATAGTCAATACATGTGTCATTATTGACAAAAAATAAGCACACGTTGAGTATAGTTATTTGACTGAAATAATAAATTTTAATATAATTTTTTTCTGCGAAAAATAATGATAAAACAGTTTCTGTTGAACTTTTGGCACAAATTTATGATTTCAGTCTAATAACCGTTAGTCAACAATTTTTGTCAATGATGATAGGTTTGGATAATTTCGATTCCAAATATCTCGAGAACCATTACTTGTAGCGATTTTACGAAGAGTCATTTTATAGGTAAAACGACGTAAATTTATATTTTTTGCTCACTAATTTTATACAGGTACGGACAAAAGTTATTACTCTTCAAACCAGTTAAAAATATGTAAGTGGCGGCCTCTACAAGTAGGAGTCATATTAACATCAAAATCAAATTTCTCATGTCAAAAAACTCCCAGACACCAATTTTCATCCAAATATTACGTTACTTCATAAATTATTTAGAAAAAATCGAAATAAATATGAAACTTGTACACCCTGTATCTCCGAAACTAAGCATTTTAGGATATACATTTATAAGAACTTTTTTACCTATTTTTATCTGCAGAATCCGCTGACGAAGTTTCCGGAATACAGTTCGGACCACCCTGTATATAAAAAAAATTTTACATTTATTTTGGTGGTAACTTTAGTATTTAAAAAAATGCTATGCAACCAGTAATACACTCTTAGCATTGTTCAATTAACTTTTTCATTTTTTGAGCTAGAACATTCATTAAAAAACAAATTATAGGGTTTCCTGTCAAGTTTTAATACATTTTATTGTTATTATGTATGTTTATTTAAAAAAATAGATAAAAATAATATACAAAAAAAAATAATTAAAACTTGAGTTAAAACCTTCTAATTTCTTTTTTTTTCAATGAAAATTCTAGCTTCCAAAATAAAAAAAAGTTAAAATCTGTTAAAATATAGGGCAAAATAAAAATAGAGCATGTATTATATTGGACCAAAAGAGCTTAGAAGAGCTTGAATACGATGGAAAATTTAATATTTTTATAAGATTTTTAAATTTTACAAGAATAAGTTGAGAGGCATAACTTACCATTATTAAAAGGCAACAGGTGTTGAAGTCAATCCAGTAAATTACATTTTTCTGTGTCCTTTAAAGATTTTCCATTAAAACTGGAACTTGGACGGGAAACAGCTGTCAAAACGTCCATTAATATCAACTTGTATTGCCTTTTAAAAATACAAAAAATAAATAAGTAAATTTTTATAAAGTCAGTTTCTTCACACATTTTGAAATAAAAAAAATGTTTTTTTTTAATATGTTTGTATTAAAGAGATATGTATATGTATAAGTAGATATTAAAAGTATATGTATTTGTATAAGTAGATATTAAAAAAATAAACGCAATAGTAACTCTTTAAAATATTGTCAAATATTCATAGATTTTTACAAAAAGAAAACATACTAAATAAAATTAAAATTGTCTGATACGAATTTGTAAATAACTACAAAGATTGAAAAAAATATATTAATATATTTTCAATCTCAAACTTATTTTATTTTGAATATGAAGCCTACAATTTTGTAGTTAACTACAAAAAATGTAGCCTTAAAAAATAATAAAAAAATAAAAATAACTTACCATTTTCATAGGGCAATGGTAATGAAGGCCAATCAATCTAAGTACTATTGATTGTATCTTGAAATTGTCATTTATGGGTGATTTTCAGTATCATTTTATTCAAAAAATTCCTCGGGCATTCATCAAACTTATGTACAGTTCTAACTCATTTGCAGATTTGTAACAGCAACTGTTAACGCCCAGTACATCACTCAAAGAGATATCTAAAAACAAAAAAATAAACAAATATTAATAAGTATATTAATTTGTATCAATGTAGAAAATTAAAACAAATAAGAAAACATTGTAATATCAATATAGATAGGCAAAATACAAAATTAAGTTGATTTGAATAAAAAAAATTTCCTAATAAATTTAAAATTAAATATTGCACCTAAAGTTATTTAAATATACACATTATATGTGTAAAATATGTCATAACTTCCAAGCTTTCCAAAAACTTTAATAGGAAAGAAAATAATGTGAAAAAAACTTACCATTTTTGAGATATCTGCGTTGTTGAAGTCAATTTAATGTCCTGTATCTACTGTAGAATAAATTGGCCATTTGTGAGCCTTTTCCCAGTTTAAATTATGTCAAAACTTCTTTGATGTTTCTAATAATTCATCCAAGTTGTTATAACAGCTGCCATTCTACATTTACACCAATAGATATGCTTGTATAATACATAAATAAATAAAACTTGATGTCCAAGATACCAATAACATCTATAAAAAAAATAAACGTTGTGATAAGTATTTTTTTTGTAACTAGATGAAAAAAATTACCTTAATACAGTTGCTCCAAATTTCCTTCAAAAAACTTCCGTTGCAGCCAACAAAATCCTTCTTCTTTCCTCAAACATCTTCTATCTCCTTTCCTTCTATTTCAAAGCAATCCTCTTCCATCTTCTCTGGCCTCTTCTATTTTCCAAGTCTCACCAACTCTTATTCAACTGCTTATATAACTAACTTATACAAATTTCAGGCGTCTTACAAACATTTTTTAAAAAGGGGGAAAAGGGATATAATGCTACAACAAACCACTACGCTAGCGCACCTACCTAAAAAAAAACTTTTTTTAGTCATAGAAAATGATAAACATAAAGTTATATAAATTTACCTGATGGCATCTAGAAGATGGCCCTAATCCTGCTGTTGTCCCCCAAAAAAATCATTCCAAAGCAGTTTACTACTAAAAAGATTTATGCAGGAACAAACTGAATTTAATTTTAGTAACAAAAATAAATTACTAATACTTTAATTCTCATTATAATGTAAAATTACATTATTTACTAATTTACGTTTAATTAAAAATCACTATTAAAAAAATTAAATAATAATATGAATTTTAAAATAAGACGAAAAATAGTTATTTTAGTTAATACTAATTTTGTCTCTTTGGAGTTATTTTTGTATTACCATTATTGCTAAAAAACTTTATATTAAAGCCTTGTATAGAGTAAGAAAAAAAGTAAAAAATGAAATATAAAAATTTCAAATTAAAAAATAAGTACTTAATGGAACATTCTGTAAATGTAGGGAACCTAAAGTTACTGCTTTGGAACCACGACGCGAACCGACTTTTGAAGTTCTCCAAGCCATACTATATCACCTGTAAGAGAAAAAATTATATTAGAATATTTCAAACAAATACATATGCTAGAAAAAAAAAAGCTATAGACAACAAAAAAAACAATGCAAAAAATATGAAAAACTCACCATCACATCTTGCTTAAGTTCATTTTCAGTCCCATCATAATAACTATACGGCGAAAAAACAGTGGCGTCTCACTGCTATAGGGCACATCGAATGCCCCCAACTCCATGGACTTCGGTCGATCCTTCTAGAGTTGACAAAAACACGTTTTCAGGTATTCGACGGTGCCTGGAACAATCCGGAATTTTTTTTGGGACTGATTATATGCAGCATGTAGATAGAATTTCTGACTTCTTCAATCTTCTCGGTTTTTAAAATCGCGCTGCGAACCCGGGTTGTCCTAAAACAATGAAAAAAAATAGTTATATAAGTAACTACGTTTAATTAATTAGAATTATTATTATATCTACTATAAGTTTTAAAAAAGTTGCTCTAATTACTATACTATACTATAATTTAAATTGAAGCTCATGTATGTTGTAACAAAAAAACTAAAATATACAACACTTATATATAAAACGAATTTTGACTGCTATATGGTGCAATAAAAAAGTTATTTGGTAGAGAGTACAGTAAAAGTTTACAATTTAAAGAAAGCAATATAAAAAAATTAGACTTACATTTAACAGGTTTAAGTTAGGCCTGGTTATGCTCGCCTCCTACCGACATTTTCTGCCTTCAAAATTCGACGCGGGGCAGACCAAGAGACAAAAAAAAAATATGTTTCCACGACCCGCTTGCGAGTGTGTGCTGGTTGCCTTCCTTATGCAGATTCGACCCATTGATCGACGATTAAGCCTCACCAGTCAGTTCCCATCCCAATTAAGCTGCCTCGTCTGGGTCACCCCGTCACCCGTCGGACGGACATCCACCGGGACCCTCTACAGGCGGACCCCCCTCATCATCTTCAATGTGTCCGATATCCCGCCCCTGCCTCTTCGAGGGTCACGGAATACGTGCACGAAGAAGTCTCCGAGCTTGGGTGCCAGGTTGTATCCGGCCGAAGCCTCTAGCATTAGAACACTTAGCTCGTAAACCAGAGGGTGGTGACTCCCTTTGGGTACCTCTGCATGCTACACAGGTCATCGATGCCCGAACATCAGGTTAGGAGGTGACCCAAGAGTGTCTCTCTCTCTTGGGAAGCCGCCGCGCCGCGCACTGGAGTCATCTTAAGCCCGGGAATCCACACCGACAAAAACACTGTTAACCAACTGCATCAGCTAACGAAATTCACTAATGTTGAATTAGGAAATTTTATTAACCAACACAGAGAGCTAGCAATGCTCGTGTGAGTGGGGAAGGAGTGTGTGGTGTTGTAGTATTAATATAACCCGTCTAAAAAAAGAAAAAATATTGGAATACCTATAAAAATATTATCGAACACCTATAAAAATATTACGACAATATAATATATTGTTTATATTATATGAAAGAGAAAGAAATAGTGAGGGAAATGTATAAAAAAGAAGAAAAAATATTAAACGGCTCAGCCCTCAACAACTCGTAACCGTATACACCAGTGTACACCAGTGCAGACACGCACACCCACACACTCACACAACCACACCTACACTAGTGCACACTGATGTATAACTGCCTTCAGGCTTCATCAGTATGGTAAGGATTCAGGAAGCGAAGAAACCGATCCCAAATCACAAAAATCCAGGAAGCAAACGATGCAACGAGGCACCGTGTGCAACCCAGGAGATGGAAAAAAAAAATTTGATGAAAAAACGAAAATAAATGATGGAAAAAAAAGGAGCAAACAGGAGCCTAAAGCCCCTCTTGGCTGCAAATTGGGGCTTTAGTGCCAATAGCACTAGTGTAGGTGTGGTTGTGTGTCGAGTGTGTGGGTGTGCGTGTCTGCACTGGTGTACACTGGTGTATACGGTTACGAGTTGTTGAGGGCTGAGCCGTTTAATATTTTTTCTTCTTGTTTATATTATAAATAGGTATATTTATTTTAAATGAAAAAAGAGATGCTCCATTTATACCTTCAGCAATAATTTATAATATTTTTTCCTTGATTATTATACCAAAAATGTCAAAAATATAAAGATGTTATATGATCTAGGGAAAAAAGGGATATAAATTTGATGAATATGGTCAAAATCCAAAGAATTTTTCCATGATGTAACACATAAAAAAATAAAAATACACAAGGAGTTTTTAGAGTTGTAACATGTTATTTAGAGCTAAAAGTTAAACCTACAGTGTTTCAAATAAATAAAAAATATTAAAGTTATATTTTTTTTAACAATGAGACATCCTATATATTTTATTACATTTTTAATTTCTACTATGAAGACAAATAACATTCGATCAAAATTTACCTCAAAATAATCATATTTACTGTTTTCGAAATATTTTAATTTTTATAAAAATTCAGTAACAATTGATTTATTTCTGCAATGCAAATTTACAACTAATACTGAATTAGCAAAAATCATTTGTCAACATTAATACTATTTTTTAACATGTAATATTACATAACCCGCTTTAAAAGAGAAATATATTTTAAAATACCAATATCAGAAATCATTAAAGGTCATTACCTACAAATAGGCTGAAACATAAATATGTAAAAGATTCTTAAATAAAAAAAAATACGTAATAAAATTCCTAATGAACCTACCTATTTAAAACTTAAATACAAAAAACCTACTCATTCAAAATATTATTAAAATGCGAATATTATATTTTTAAAAAATAAAGAAAACCTCTAAGAAGGCTCTAAGTATGCCCTATAAAAAGAAATTTAAAATAAAAATAGCAATTTACAAAAAATCAAGACATGGAATTCCAACAGGCGGCCATTTTATTTAAACATACCTTGACCGAAAAAATTAAACAAAAAATCAAAGATATACATTACGTAATTTACCAAATATGTAGTACTATTTTACCCTTATGTAACACGCAGTATAGAAAGTACCGAAAATACATAGTTAATTTACATACTTATTTATTAATCTACGTATATTATTTAAACAATATTCTTAAAAATTAATAACTTAATGGGGAACATTGAGAAGGCTGCCATGATGGATATTGCAAAATCAAAAAATTTTAAACTAAAATATCTCAAAAAATACATAAAATTACGGGTACTCACTTTTTCAGGAGGCTAAGCAGGGCACTAGTAACAGATTACGTATAAGTTGTGTACACTAAATGCACTTTTTCGTCAGAAAATTTAAAAAATCGATGCAACCGACGGGAGGACGTGCCGATCCTTCGATTGCAAACGACTCAAACGACTAGCTGGACCGGCGTTGCCAGATTGAAGTCATTCGTAAAATTTAAGCTGCTCATAAAATTAATTTATTACTAATAATAATATGTAATATTATTTATAGGAAAATTCTTGTGAATTAAGCTTAATTTTGTTCTCAAAAGTTATTATTTACTCAATACGTTCCACTGAAATCGTTTTTTTAAGTAAGGCAAAATATTTTTATTGTCATAACTTATCATAAGTAAGAAACAAATAAGTAATTATAAACATAAACACACAAAAATCATGAAATAAACATAAAATGAAGCTGTTTAAATAATTTTTAATACTATAAATACATCGAAACGAAGAATAAAGACTATAAGCTTAGTACGTAATTACGAGAAGAAATAAAAAAAAATTCTACAAAACAACATTACTGGTACTTGTTTTACTAAAAATATAAATATAGAAATAACCCTTACTATAGTGCCAGTTTATGGTGCCAGTGATCAATTTAAATTAATATAATTTCACAAAAATAGAGAAAAAGATTTTCGACATTTTATAACAATCCGGCACCATCGAACGATAATAAAATTCAAAACCTCCAGGCAACCGAAACTGACCAATCACGATCGAGAATTTTTTGCTCTTGGATGCATAAAATAATTAACTATGGATGCCTCGATTTTAACTTTTTTTAATAAACATGGATGGTTTTTTATTAAAATTTCAGTAGAATGTGCTTCTTAAATTAATTAAATGATTTGTCTTTATTTGTATTTATTCCCTCCAGTATAAAATATGATACAAAACTTATTTTATATTGAAATTATCTGGTACGCACATAATTAGATGAACTATAAAATCATGCGTTTCTTTAATATTTTAATAAATTATTAAGAAACAAGTGTTTTTATTCAATAAATATCCCTTAGTTTAATAAGAAACTAATTCTATCGAGTTAAATAGTAAGAAATATGAGATAAATTATATGAATTATATAAAAAAATAACTTCAAAAGTCTTTAACTTGACTCGATGTTGACAGCTCTTACCGGATGTATCTGTAGACGCCTTTTGACGCCACATTTTTCAAATTTGAAATTTAATTAAGCTGAAAAATCCTTTATTTACAAGAAAAAATATATTAATAAGTACAAATTATGATCGAAAAAACGGCGTCCAGTTGGCTGGGAAATGACGATTGAGTACATTTCCCATAAATTTACATATAAAATGACAGCGATCTTCATTTCATAGTCATCGCTGACGCTATTTTTTTTCGATCATATAGTACGGTATTATTATATTATTATTTTAATATTTGGCACAACACGTGAACGCTTATTATGTATTTTCATAGTCAATAAAATTAAATAAAAATAAAACTCTAGATTCCTACAATTAATCTAATTGCTTAAATTATTTGTGTTATCATGCTACGTTTAAAAAGTGCTTTATTAAAAATTCGGAAAATTAAAAGGAATATGTGTCCAAGTTTCTTCTTTTTTTAATTTTTAAATGCTGTAGCTCCATATCATGTTCATAATAAGTTTTTCTTAACATTCCATTAAAACTACGGAGGCCTTAAAATGGCTTTTTTGCATCCGTAATTATCCGAATCAGCTTCAGCAACATTAACAGTTACCTTGTTAAGATTTTTCTATTCTTACACCTAATTTATGCCATTTTTTTAGCATATATGATTTATAAACCATATTTTTCCTAATAGAAGGATGGAAGGATATGCAAGATTAATATATTCTAACATTTATTTTCCAGACAAAGCATAATACAGTATTAAGATTAAGACTTAATTAATGTTAAGAAAGATCTTAATATAAATCACAAACTCACGTCTTAAGTTAGTCTAGTAAACACAGGTATAAAACTAATAAGATCAAAAATCAACCTTCACCATATTGTCAAGGTTTGGCATTATAGGAAACAAGAAATTACAGTAAATTACGAAAAGAATATCAAAGTACACGATATTAAGTACTGTAATGTATTTTACGACACAAACCATCTCCCATATAAAGAGAAAAAGATAAAATATGAAGCTTATTTTAGTCTTATCAACACTCTTCACTCTTCTTCGGTAAAATATATGTCTAAAATTGCTATTAATCCACTAACTTGATATTTTTAAGAAATTATGATACAAACATAATCAAAGTAGGTAAAATGTCAAAAAACCTATAAAAAAAGGTAAAAAACCTCTATCTCCCATTGACGTGTGTATTGTTCTATAAGAACTCGTCATGGTAGTACTTCAATACATCAATATATATAATCAGAACTATTGTTGCCTGTAAACAGAAACATAGACTTATAACTCTAATAAGTTTAAAACCATTAAGAAAAAATCCGTAAATGATAATATTTAATTCTAATGTAAATATATAAATAAATGTTATTATTATTACAATTTTATATACTCATAATAAAGGCTCATAATACTTTCATTTCACAATTTTCATTATCCTTCTTACCTTAATTTTGGATATCAAGATAAATCTGAAATTATAAAATTAATTATAGAATTTGTATTTTTATTGATTAATTAACACTCAAAAATTAGAAACTTCTTCTAATTAATCTAAAAAACAAAAAATCGTTAAAAAACGAATTAAGGCGGGCTCTTAATAAGGATATTTATTTTTTTCTTGACAACCGTTTGATGAACAAGAAAAACTGAAAAGATCAATTTTGTTGAAAAAAGGATGGCCAGTCAAGAAAAAATATTTTTTCTTTAAAAAAGCAGTGGTGTACCATTTATGTTAAGCAAAAAAATCGATTTTTTTAATTTTTTAACATCCTGTAGATCAGAAAGGAAGTACTTTAGACCCAATGGTTATAGAAATATAAAAATTGTTTTAAGAACACATGAGGAATCACCCCACAATTTTTTTAGACTAGTTAGAAAATACCCTGTATATTGTCAACTTGGCAATGATGGCTGAAAAATCAAAACATATCTTTTCAGTGAAATAAGCCCGATTTTCGCAGGAAAAATTTTGATTTTTATTGAATTTGGGCATGCGTCTGCAAATACCGGTTTGTTTTTTAATTTTCTATCTATCTAAATTTTAAATATCATAGTCAGAAATAGTTTTATTATTTATTAACTGTAAAAATGGTATTTTCTTGTTTTGTTGCATCTTGCAAAGAAACTAACAAAACTGCAAAAATGCACGTGTTACCAAAAAATGATAAGGTATGTATCTTAGATAAAAGAAAAATATATGGTATGTATTCGTTGTTTGATTTTTTTTTTTCGTTCGCTTTAAAATCTATAAATCTCGGTCTATACATTAGACAGCCAGTCGACTTACGATCATTTACATGAAACTCTGTAAAATAAATAAAAAAATAAACTGTAAAATATATATATTCTTATGTTTTATTAAAGCTACTCTGATATACTAATACCTATATCAGTGTAACTTTAAAAATAAATCCTTTGAATTCAAATATAAACATAAAAAATATTTACAGCAGAAAAAGCGAAGGCGCTGGGTTAAACGTAGTCTCTACTAAAAACACGGAGGGGCGCTTTGACCCAAAATTTTACAATTAAGTTTCATATCTATCTTAATAGTAGATTATTTTCTTTTATCTATGGTATCGATGATCAAATGCAGCAAATTTGTGTATGGGCTTCAAGGTCAGCCACCGGATTGTGCACCGGATCCACACATGATCCACATCCACACCTTTACCCACAAATTCATGATTTTTATATGCAGAAATCGAAATTTGGTAAAATTTTATCTAAAAAGAGTATGGTTTATTAGGTTTTGTTGAAACAAATAAATAAACAAGAAACAGCTGATTGAACTAATCATTGGAACCATTGGAACTAATGAACAGCTGTTTCTTGTGAATCAGAAATCATTGTTTTTTCTATAGTTTTTCCATATTTTTTACAATAAATGTTATTTAAGTTAATGTTCTGTGATTTTTAAACGTTCCTCATTGAAAGCGCCGTATTACAAAAGTAAAAAGCATATATGATGACAAATACAAATGATATTTTAACTACTTTGAAAAATGGAGTTAGAAAGATTACGTTTAATCGCCCACAAAAGAAAAATGCTTTAAATAAACAAATGTATTTAAAATTAATAGACTTATTGAATGGAGATGCAAAAAAAGACGATGTTATTATCACAATAATAACAGGAAATGGCGATTTCTATAGCAGCGGTAACGATTTCAGCGAAGCCAGTAATGAAACAGGTCTTGCTACAGTCAAAAATCTAGTACAAGCTTTTATTGACTACCCAAAGCCAATAATAGGTAGGTTCTTAATAATACCTTACTTTTCATTTATATAAAGTTGTATTTTGTGTAGCTGTCGTTAATGGTCCAGCTATAGGAATTGCAGCAACAAGTGCAGCTTTGTGTGATGTTATCTATTGCTCAGACAAGGCCTATTTTCAAACACCCTTTGTCAAACTAGCTATTTGTGCTGAAGGGGCATCAAGTTATTTATTTCCAAGATTGTTAGGACGTAGCAAAGCTTCAGAATTATTACTTTTGGGCGAAAAGCTATCTGCTCAAGAAGCATACAATTTTGGTTTTGTTTCTAAAGTAATTCCTCATGAAGAGATTCAAACATTCACTGATAGTTTATATAAATATGGTAGTTTACCTCTGAATTCTGTAAAAGTAATAAAACACTTAATTATGATAAATTTAAAAAATACTTTATCAGATTGTAATAAGAGAGAAATGCTCAGTTTAGTGGAATGTTTAAAATCTGATGAATTTTCACAGGCTTTTATGAATTATTTTTCTAAAAGTAAATTATAAATTATGAGAGATCCTAGAACTCCTGTAATTTCCTTTGCATTTAATCTTACAATTTAGAAAAGTTGGTAATCAATTTTCGGTTGTTGGATCACTTTAATTAAAGTTTCTAGACTTTAAGTCTTATGCAAGTAATGAACTATATGAAATTATATAAACATAGTATGTGCATACATGCATCCATCATGCATTGTTGATATTATCCAATTTGATTGGTCTCTGTGATTGGTCTATTTCAAAAAATGACAATTCATACTTTAGTATGATTAGAGTGACGGATGACGCAGGACGGATGGATGTATACCCACATTTAGATAAATCTGTGAATTTGATTACCCTTACTTGTTTTATTTAAGATGATTTTATACTGGGTTTAAAAATATTGAAAAAGTTTTTTTTAAATGACTCTGTTTTCACTCTCATCTTAGTTTTATTTCAAGACAAGGACTGTTTTAATAAAATTTTCCGCCATATTTGATAAAGTTGCATCAGAGGAACTGCAATATGATTGAAAAAAAACAGTGTCGGCGATGGCTACGAAATGAAGATCGCTGTCATTTTATAAGTAAAATTATATGAGGAATGTCATTCGTCATCATTTCCAAGCCAACTGGACGCCATTTTCGATCATACGGTATCCAGTTGGCTTGGAAATGATGATCGATGACATTCCTCACATAAAATGACAGCGATCTTCATTTCCTAGCCATCGCTGACGCCGTTTTTTTTTCGATCATACGGTAGTATAGTCTCTATAGTGAAAAACCATGAGAGTTTGATATTTTAATTCAATAAATAGGTGGATTTTTCTGCTGGGTAGACAATATTTGTTTCATGTACACATAAAATAAAATTAGCATTATACTTATAACATGTTAATTAAAATAAAAAAAATATACATATTTAAACATAACTAATAGACTCAAAAAATAGAAGAACTTAATATAACTACTCAATTAATGTGATTAAAAATATATACACGATGTAGTACATAAGTGTCTCCAGATTTAGCAAATCTTGTTTATTAAGATTGACTAATCTTTTATTATTAAATCTATTTTGGATCTAATTTAAATTTTCTGATATATCACTATTTTTTATAAAACACAATTCAACAGCATTTAAAAAGTTGATGATTCACGTAAGTATACTATATGATGTAGGAATTTATTAAAAATTAATAAACTCACTGCCAGTCTTATAAGCTTGGTGCATTTCAGATAATTTTAAAAATCCCCAACGCAGCGTTGGATACGGCAGAAATTAAAAGTGCTCCACTAAAGTATTTCATGCAGTCCCGTTACCATTTACGTCAATCACATTGAAATAAATATTAAAATCGCGGCTTTGTCATAATATTTTTTACTAGTGCAGTTATTGAAACTATACTCTGTTTTTTTCTCAGTTAAGATTTCGACAACGATGACAGAAAAAAGCAGATGATGTTGCATACCAATCCATTTATTCTACTAAAAAATGTTTCTAATATTTTTTAAGTTAACTATGTGTGGGTTTAGTTTGGTTTGGTTTGGTATAAATCGGACTCATCTCTTGTTGTTTTTAACTAGTTTTGAACAGTCATCTTTAGTTGTATCTTCCAGATCTGAATGTTTTTCTACTTTTAGCTCTCCAAATGCTCTCCAACATTTACAAGACATGACTATTCTCACCCTCCTCCACCTCATCTTTTCTGTAGATTTAAACAATATTTTACTTTCGAGTAGAACATTTTTTGTGACTTATGTGTATTTATGTGACTACATTTTTACCGTTACTTCATCAATAGGATTCTGGTTTGTATTATCACCCATAGTTCCTAATAAGAAATAGCAACAATCTACATACAGAAAAGTTGATTAAGCCAGATTAAGCTCCCAATTTCAGCATCAAAACCTATCTGTAAATATAAAAGTAGAACTTTTGAAGCAGTACAAACACAAAACATTTACAAGTTATTAGGAGAACAAATGACCAAATGTTATTAAAAAATTGAGGTTAAGATCGTTGAAGTGTCAAGTTGTGACCATAGATAGAGTAAAAGTGGAGTAAAAGTTGTGACAAAAATTCCAGTTTTTGGTGTTGCATAGTACTTTATAATTTTTAATAGTTTTTTTACACTCTGTGATGACTCTTTCTCTGTGGCGTAAAAAATTGACATGTTGATGTTGATAACTGTCAATGTCAATGTTAATAAATAAATAGATGTGGGAGTGTCCTGCTGTAAACAAAAATATTATTTAAATTAATAGTTGAAGTTGAATAGCAGAAAAGACAATGAAGATGCAATGAATTATGAATCTCTGAAATATTGAATTAGTAAGAAATACAAAATGCCAGCCATGAAGGACTCGTGTATAGTTAAAATTGCGGTCGAAATGACCGATCAGGTACCGCAATTAACCGAATTTAATCAAAAGCAGCCACTGGCAGCAATAATTCAGGAACTGTGCAACGGTTGGAATTTAACAGATCCCGATCAATACGCTCTACAATTCAATGATAGCAATAACAATAACTACATCACTGAAAAAAATCGAAACGAGATTAAAAATGGATCTGTGTTAAGATTGAATTTTTCACCATCTAAAACAGCTCAAGATATCCTGCAGAAACTGAACACAGGCGTTATTGAAGAGAAAGCAAATGCTATGGCTAAACTTTCTGTTCTGAGTGCTGATATGACATTTGCTTTAGAGTTTATTAATAAACAGGGCTTGACACTGATTATTAAACAAATCGAGAAGGGCAATTGCAAAGGCACTCTTTTAGCTCATACACTTCTGTCATTTGTGGAATTAATGGAGCCTGGTATTGTTTCTTGGGATATACTTAATGGTGAATTTATTTCAAGGGTAGCTAACTTAGTAAACACTTCTCAGGATGCTCAAGTAACACAGGCAGCTTTATCAATCCTTGAAAATGTTATATTAAATAGTACTGAAGGATACAGCCAGGTTAGTTAAGGAAGATAATTAAAATCATTTTTATTGTAATTTTATTGCAGGTGGAACGTGAGATTCCCATAGCTTCCTTATTGACGCATTTACAAGCTACACCTGTTGTACAACAAAATGCAGTGGCATTAATTAATGCTCTTTTATATAGAGCTGACTCAGCAAAGAGGAGAACTTTAGGTAATTTTCTTTTGTCTTTTCATTGTTAGTATCTTACCTGTGATGATTTTAGCTCAGACTCTTACATCTAAGCAATTTCGTACTGTTATTCAAAACCATATTTTACAAACTGGAGCTTCCAGTGGAGCTGAAATGGCACATCAGTTGTATGTTTTACAAACGTTAATGTTGGGTCTTTTAGAACAAAGAATGTTGACAAAAATGGATCAACAGGTGTGTGTATTTTTAATCTTTTTTTTAGTTAATTCAGTCAATTGTTGATGCAATTACAATATGAATTTTTTTATATTTTTTTGTTATAGTAAATCTCTTGATACACAATATACATTATTTTTTCTCTGTACTATATTGTGCTTACTTTCTACTTTGTAAAATATTTGTAAACTTCAATAATTCTTACTAAACTGTTTATTTTCTGTAGGATCAAGATGGCCATGACAAAATCAAAGAACTGAGACGGATTGCTTTTGATAGTGAAGGCGCGGGAAATTTGAGAGGCAATCAGGCTTTTACCAGAGATTACAAAAAACTGGGTTTTAAAAATGATATAAATCCAGCATTAGATTTTACTGAGACACCTCCAGGTTAAATTAAAACTCTGCTTTTCTATTAACTGAAATTAACTTTTGTTTTATTTTACAGGTCTTTTGGCTTTAGACTGCATGATTTATTTTGCTCGAAATCATTCAGAAAACTACACTAAGCTAGTTCTAGAGAATAGCTGTAGGGCAGATGAACATGAGTGTCCTTTCGGTAGGGCTAGTGTGGAGTTGGTAAGAATACTTTGTGAGCTGTTAAAAATCGGAGAAGCACCTTCAGAGCAATGTGATACTTATCAGCCGTTGTTCTTTACTCATGATCATCCTTTTGAAGAATGCTATTGTATCTGTATAGTTTTGTTGAATAAAACTTGGAAGGAAATGAGGGCTACAGCAGAAGATTTTGGAAAAGTAAGATAACATGTCTTTTTAATTGTCCCATGCATGCTAAATATTTTGTAATTAGATTAGGTGGTGGAATACTATCTATATTTAAGTTAGATCTATATTACCTTAAACTATTAGATTTGTACTATTTCAAACTGTTGTTAAAAAATCTGTCATATTTTTATGTAACCCATATTCCTGACAATTGTGTCCTCAAATAATATTTCACAGCTAGCACACACTATTTTGTATAGGCTTGGTGCATTTCAATCGATTTTTAAAATTTCGACAGCAGCGCCCGGCACGGCAGAAATCGGAACTTTCCGGCTCTACATTTCAGGCAGTCCTGGTTGTCATATATTTAAGTATTTTAGTTTTTATTAGTACAGTTATTGAAAGTATAAAATTCTCAGTTACAAAGTTTGTGTGATGTAACACTATTTCGGGTAGTAAAAATTAAGCAAAAAAGAACCCAAATTGGGCGACGCGTTATGTTGTGATAATTTCAAATGATTGCCGAAAAAATATTAGCACGAACAGGAGAACATAATTGCGTTGTTGTGAATAATAAATTATAATACATATTAGATTTTCTGAAGACATGAAGATTTATTTTTTTTAGAATTTTCACAAACTGCACTTACTAATACAGGCAGTCCTTGTACTTACGGCAGGTTAGGTTCTTCAAAATAGCGCCTTAAGTCGAAACGAAGCTAATCGAATCTTATTTTGTCATAAGATCCTATAGAAAGTGGAGAAGTTAGGTACTTTTGTAAGATAAAAACACGATAAAACAAAGAGATGTGCGTTTGTATATATTAATATTATTGTATTTTTAAATAATTGAGGTATGAGAAACAGTGTATTGTAATGTAGTTAAACTTATAATAATACAAGAAACAAAAAAAAAACTGAAAAAAAAAAAATAAAAAGTATTTTTTTTATGAAAAACAAATTAGGGCAAGTATTTTTAGTCCCGTTTTTTCATTATCTAATCAAAAAAAGTATTTTTAACTATCCATATAACAGTAAATATAATACATATATACTAATATGACAACTACAGAAATACCAGAGAGTAAAGTAGACATATTTAGAAAGTATATATTTATTTTTTGGTTGGAACTTTTATTGTGGGTATCGTCAAAAGTCGTAATAGTTGCTAATTAAGTAACGATCAACACTGTCCCAATTTTTTCATTATGAGGATCTGTCAACCCTGCTTGTATGTTGCTAAAATTTTATTGTTTATGTCCAAACATCTTTTTAAAATTTGGATCGTTCTTTCAAAAATGACGTAACTCGAAACAGTGGGACGTAACTTTGAGGAATAGTGACAAAAATTTGTTCGACGTAACTCGAAACGACGACGTAACACGAAACGACATAAATTGAGGACTGCCTGTACTTCTCAAATAATATTATAACAATTTTTTTGTGTACTAGCTATTTAAACCCGTGTATTTGTTTAGTCGGCTGTTTACAGTATTCTCCGATGGTGGCAGCACCGGCGAAGAATGCTCCAAGCCTATAAAAACGTGTGCACAAATTACCTATAACAGATGCGAAAGAACACCCAATTACGCGTTCAGGTTTCTGTGACCTTCAGAAAGAGTTCATAGACAATCCGCATCAATGTATAGTTTGAGTTATTATTTGTTTGGGTGAAAATAATCTGCACCAATATGTTATCGAGGCATACAAAAAGGTCCACAGACCTCGAGACATACGAAAATCAAGTCCATTTAGCGTGTGTCGCAATTTTCACACCTTAAAAAATTAGTTTTTTTATAGCTATAGGAACTGCAGCGACTATGAAAAAAGCTGTGTGATTTTCATAGAAAATAAGGGCACCTGTAATTCATTTGAGAATGTTATAAATCGCTAAAAGAGGTTTCAAATCTCTTCGATTTCTTATTAATATTAAATGAATTTTATTAAAAATTGAACTAAAATTATTAGTATCATTAAAAACAATTCAAATTCAAAAATTGTATCAGTCAAATTCCCTCATTTAAGGTGAATATTAAAGTAAATATAAATACAGCTCATTCTAAGCTCTACTTATCTTTAAGAAAAATTTAAATCATTGTTGCAATTGGGCCTTAATGCGATTTCGAATGAACAATAGTATTAATAATGTACATTATAATAATAATAAATTTTATATCATAGTGTGTATTAAAACTACTAAAACACTTTTAAATTGGTATTATATTAACAACTTTTGTTTTTTAATCCAAAAAAGTTACCAATTTTTCTCAATCAAAATATTTGTGGTCCTGAAAAGGACCTTCGTTTTCCCCATGTTCGTCAAGGTAGGTAATGGGTAAACGTTAAAAAACTGGATAATGAAATTTAAAAAATTACAAAATTTAATATAAATAATTTTTCCAGCCTGTAAATAAAATAAAACGAACAAATTTTTTTCAAACGAGTAAATAATTTCGAGTTATCCAGAGATTCGGATTCTTTTGCAAATTTTAGACAAATATCACATTGATGTATTTGAAGACCCTTTTTAATGATGTAGTCAAACATAATTAAAGGCATTTTGAGTTGAAAACATTTCTCAGAGGCTGTTTGATATAATGAAAACTATAAAATTTGACCACCCATGTGAGAAATTTCCTCTGATATTTACATCATTAAATGATTTTATTAGATTGAAAATATTTGATGTATAAAGTTTACAAATAAAGATTTATATAGTCGAAAAAGTCCCGATAGAACCAATAGAAAGGTAACTATTTTGTCACATTTTTAATTAAATTTTGTTAAATAAATTAATTTTTTATACTATAAATATCTTTTTTTTCCTTATAAATAAACACATTTGCATCCCATTTTAAATAAGATATACAAATTACCAAAACTTAGAAATAACAGTTCAAAAGTTAACAAAAATCCTACACGCGTTTTTAAAAAGAAACATATAACCACGTACTATGTCATTCCAGCAAGCGAATACGACACAGCATAGGTTTCCGGACTAAACGACTGGTGTATTTACACCACTCAATAGGCGTGTCGGGTTTGCCGAGCGGTTTCCGATGCAGTCGCTTTCTTTCGCATCTGTTATAGGTAATTTGTGACCTGTGAATCAAACAATGATAATAGTGATAAGTAAAACAAATAATCATGCTTGTCAGTTGCCGCTATCAAGTAGGCTGATCTAAGGTCTAGGTCAAATAAAATATTTTAACGCCTCACCTAATTCAAAGAATTTTGATTATCCAGTATTTTTATGTAATAGGTGGCAAGTGTTGTTAGGGAGCAAATTAGTAGAGCTTTGGATGTATCTCCTCCTTCCTTAGACCAATTGAAAGCTAAGCTTCAGTCTTTAACTTATTCTGAGATAACTCAGTTGTGGCAGCTTGAGAGGTTATTATGGATTTATTATCAAATCATATTTTTTACTGATTTTTTATTGTTTATTTTTATAGAAATAGTAGAGAGGAATGGGAGAGTCATGCTAAACCAGTTGTCGAACTTCGCGAGCTCATTACTCCTGAAATAATGGGTCTAATTAAACAGCAGCGTTTAGCGTTTTTAATAGAAGGTAAATAATTAAAGAAACCCTGTAAATATATAGGGATACCAATAAAAGTTGGCGTGCACGTCATCAAGTATCAAATAAAATTTTCACTTCAGTTTTACACACAATATACCGGGTGCGTCTCGAAAGTGGCTCACCCCTATAACTTTTATTTTCTTCAGATAAAAAAGCGGGATTTAGTATGTTAGTATATGACATAAATTAGGACTGATTGATGAATTCAATTCTTTTTGATCACTTCCTGTTTCACTGGAAATGACTCCAACTTTTGATTTTTAAACGGCACCCTGGGTATTTTTTTACTTTATTCGATAGAAAATGACACTCTGAATAGAATGACATATCATA